TAGAGGTATTTGTACTGTATTGTAAATGGTCTTTTTCTCTTACCTAATTATGTACAAGTTGAATATTGTGTTTGACAAATTCATAATAGTATGAAACTACTTATTATTACAAATGTGGATGATTTGGATATTTGTATATCTATTATTCAACGGCTGTTCAGATTTGAATGGAAATTTAGTACACGGGTAGGGTATATTCTAATTTAACACATGTATACTATTGTAATAAACTGGAAGAGTTTATTTATATGTTTGTTTGAACGTTCTAATTTCTGGTACTACCAGTCAGATTGGAAAAATTCTTTTTATATTCGTTTGTAGTATAACTGCGCTGTACGCATTTCAATAAATAAAACAAAGCTCTACATCCGCTAAATCCAGCATTACATCTAATACAGCGTTGGTGTCGCCATTTCGCCAGTTTAATCAGCAGCTTATCTTTTCCCCCAATCTTCTCGTAACTGGCAGCTGTTTCTGTAATATTTCCACCTGTCGAGCTGTTAAACGGGCATATCGTATGTTGAAAGGGCGATTCGCCGTGATAAAGCGGTACGATTGAGGACCGCCAGTGAAAAATTTCATCCGCCTACCACGTCAGGATTAACGGATGACATTTGTACCCCAAGTTGACCGGGAATTTCGATGAATTATATATGATGTATTAGGGTAAATAGGGGCCGGTTGTCACGTTAAATACATTGCGAAACGTTATTTATGCTTACAATTAAATGTTTTTAACCGACTTTAAAAAGTCCTTCTGAATTTGAGTATAATTTTCGTTTATGTTAAGAGACATCTTTGACAAGTTGGAACAGGTTTTATTGTTTTTTTTTTCGATTGACACAATATACTCCTGTATCGGTTCCATGAAAGATGATATCGAATATTTTAAAACTGTATTTCAAAATAAGCATTTCTCGGAAAGAAATACGAGTGGAAAATTTATAAAAAAATATTTAGTCCGTCATAATACTGACTGATAGCTGGGCATAGTCTTCAGTTCCACTGGTAAAAATCTCTCTAAAAATAACGTTGAAGATTTAATTTAAAATTACAATCTATCATTACAATTTAATAAAAGCGATATTTTGTTAAGATGTGTCGATAGATGGATATTTGTTGCTCTTTCACACAAAAATTATTAAAAAAATTTAAATGAAACTTGCTTGTATTTTAACTTAAAGCATAGGATACTTTATATATTGACATATGTGGGCGAAGCAGGTTACTTGCGTCGTAATGATGCGTTTAATTGACGTACAATTTGATACACATTCTATTTGTGATGGAGAAAGACATAGGCATATTTATTACAGTTAAGCTACATATTTCGATCACGGACAAAGTCGCGTGTGAAAGGTAGTCATAAATAAACAAAAATGCCCCCGTAACAACGAGGTTGTCGTGGTAATCACCATCTGTTCTTACATGGCGCATTACGAAATTATTCAATTTTAATAAGAGATCTGCGGTCAGTCAACAATGATTAATTGATATATTTTGCACTAGTCATTTGTATTAAAAGTTAAAATGATTTCTAGGCCAATATCTGCTTTGTATATGTTACAAGTTGCTTGTATATTTTATTAAACTAGCTTTTACCCGCGACATCGTTCGCGTGACCGGAACATATTTACCTTTCGATTGGTATAATAGCATAGTGATATGAGAAGTTGTCAAGACACCAAAAGGTAATGAACAAACCAACTCACTTACACTTATTAGTAAGGATAGCTTTGTTGTGACCTTTATCCATCATCATTATTATCATATCAGCCGTTAACTGTCCATTGCTAAACATTTTTGGTTTAACCAGTAGTTACCACGTTTGGTAAGCGATTTGGCAACCGCAGTTAGGCTTTGGTGATGTTTTAAGAGAGACGCTGCTGCCCATCTCTCGATCATTAGGTACCCTTAGTCGACTCTTATGACTTCCACGGGAAAGGAAAGAGTGGCCTATTCTATGTTGGAACCAAATGGCAATTTCGTCCACTTAGTCGAAATTTACTTTATTCGTATAAAAAAAGTATAATGTGAAATCTGTCTGAAAGGTCGATGGACCGCTTTTTAGGTCAAAGGGTCCGAATTTGTCGTCAAAATGTATTAAAATTAAAAGGCAAATTTGTCATCAAAATTACGTCCGTCTTCTTATCGGTCTTTTGTCTAAGTCCTTTTGTTTTGTCCCAAGCTGTCAGTTTTAATTGTCGAATGTCTTAGCGGCCAGCGATAAAACCGGTCAAAGAGGCCGCAACATCCCCACCTCCAGTATTGGAAGCCAATACTCCAGGCGTGGCCTAAGCGCGGACGTCCAGTCTGGCCAGTTTTGTCACTGGTCGCTTATAGAGTCCGGTCGAAGTCAGCACGTCAGCTACTCGAACCTTGCCGTCCTTCCCAGGATACACTGCCGTCACTCGTCCTTTGGGCCACTGGTTTCGTGGGAGTTGATCGTCAGTTATAATTACAACGTCATCAGTCATTAACGGTCGTGTTTCTTGTCGAAACCATTTGTCTTGTCTTGTCAAAGTTGGTAAGTACTCTTTTATCCAACGTTTCCAGGTAAGGTCGGCCAGTCGCTGGGAGTGACGCCAGGATCGTCGCAGTAAGTCATCGTCGTCAAAGATACCCAAAGGATGGTCAATGTCATTTGTCTTCGTCATCAAAAAGTCATTCGGAGTTAAAGGTAAGTCATCGTCCTTGTCAATAGGTACATACGTTAGTGGTCTACTATTTACAAAATGTTCTGTCTCCGCTAGGAGTGTTGATAGAACTTGATCACTTGGCGCTGTTTCTTTTAGAGTGACACGGAGAGCAGTCTTAACAGAGCGCACCATTCGCTCCCAACAACCTCCCATATGAGGAGCGTTAGGGGCGATAAAGTGCCAGTCAATTCCCCTGGTACTTCCCATCCTAGTTAGTTCGTCTTTGTCCAAGGCCGCCACGGACAATTTCAGCTCACGGTCGGCTCCTTTAAAAGTGGTGGCATTGTCACTCCATATTTGTCTTGGGCAACCACGACGAGCAATGAAACGTCGGATGGCCATGATAGCACTGCTTGTTGATAAATCATGTGTCACCTCAATATGGATAGCTCGAACCGTAAGACAGGTGAAAAGAGCTCCATATCTCTTCTCTCGATGACGGCCTACCTTGACCAGCATTGGGCCGAAATAGTCCAGACCCGTATAATGGAAAGCGCGTCCACCAGGAGTCAGCCTTATATCGGGTAATGACCCCATCAGAGGTGGGTCAGGTCTTGCTCTCCTTATTCTACATAACTGACAGTCGTTCCAAATAGACTTGACAGCGTTCCTTCCACCGATTATCCAAAAACGTTGTCGAAGATTATTAAATACCAGTTCCCGTCCACTATGGGCTGCATCTTGATGGTACTGGTGCATGATGAGATGCGTAAATTTGTCTTTTGGATGCAAAATGATTGGGTGTCGAGTGTCATTGCCAACATTCGCTTCGCGAATCCTCCCATCAACGCGGAGAATGTCGTCTCCATCCAGAAATGGTGTCAATTGGCGTAGGGAAAAGTGGACAAACCACTTGTCCACATTTTTTAATATTTTTAATATCGTCAGAAAACATTCTTCTTTGACTATCCTTAATAAGCGCCTTCTCTGCTTCTTTAACTTCGTCCGCTGTCAATTCACCTCGTTTTCTGTTATCTTTGTGAGTCCAGTTACATACAGCGCGGAAGAACCACGCGGTACTTCTTATTAGCCTCCAAAACTTTGAAAATCGGCTGACGTCAGGCAGATTAACGGACATTTCAGTTAAAACTAAGATGGTTTTCACCTCAACGTCGTCAGGATCAACAACGAATTCAGTCTCTTCTGACGGCCAGAATTCCTTAGACCCCCGGAGAAACTGTGGTCCATGTAACCATCTCGTATTATCCTCGGTAACTGTCTCTCTAGTTGCATCGTCTGCAGCATTCAGGCCTGACGGTACCCACCTCCAGTGATTAACGTCGGTTAACTCGGAGATCTCGCTGACACGATGGGCAACGAAAGGCTTAAAACGACCGCTGTCAGAACGAAGCCAGCTCAGAACAGTCTTAGAGTCAGACCAGAGTGTTAAGCTTGCATCAAAGTATTGCTTCAAAGTGTGAGCTAGTCTAGCACCCAGCAAGGCAGCCTGTAACTCGAGACGAGGTATGCTCATTACTTTGAGTGGTGCGACGTGAGCACGTGCCAAGACGAAAGCTACATGCCAACTACCATCTGACATCTTGACGCGTAGATATGCAACGCTCGCATAAGCCTTACTGCTTGCATCGCAAAAATGTGAAGTTCTAAGTCAGCTTGTTTGTCACACATGTCAGTAAAAAGCCAACGAGGAAATCTAAAGTCGCTGACCTTTTGTAATTCCAACAACCATAACTGCCATTCCTTGAAACTAGTCGATTCGATTTCATCGTCCCAGCTGATTTTGGATTTCCAGATATTTTGCAGGAGAATTCGCCCCTTCACTGTCACATATAAGAGGAAACCTAAAGGATCAAAAATGGACATCGTCAATCTTAATATGTCACGTTTGGTTGGTTTCTTCTCCCTTGACTTAATGTCCTCGCTCACCTTAGGAAGCTTCAATAGAAAGATAAACTCATCGGAATCCTGGTTCCAGCGCACTCCAAGCACACGTTCTACCTGATCATCCTTGGAGTCAGAGAGGATCTTCAGGATACACGGGGATAGCTTGTCTGAAGGTAAGTGTTCCAATAGTGTATGAGAACTAGAGACAAAATTCCTTATATTGAAGCCACCTGCAGCATGTATACGTATTACATCATCCACTACGCGTACCAAGTCATCCTCATCGTCAAAAGAGTGGATGTAGTCGTCGACGTAATGGTGGTCTATAATAGCTTTGACAGCTTCTGGGTGAGTCGCCTCATATCTACGAGCATTCAAATTTTTTACATATTGAGCTGATGATGGTGAACAGACAGGTCCAAAAGTCATGACATTCATGACATAAACGTCATTATTCTAGAGAAGTCGTTGGGCATGTCGGTCATCTTCCCTAATAAGTACTCTATGAAACATCTCTTGGATGTCACCAATTACACAATATTTGCCTAGACGGAACCCTAATAATACAGCAGGCAAAGATGTTAAAAAATCAGGTCCACTCAATAAGAAGTCATTGAGTGACTTACCGTCAGACTTAGCTGCACAGTCAAGTACAATTCGCAACTTATTAGGCTTATTAGGATTAAAAACGGCAAAGTGAGGAAGATACCATGTCTTATTGGTCTGGATCGAGGCCTCTTCAGGAGTTAATTTTGAGATGTATCCTTTATCAACATTCTCCTGGATCTTCTCCTCATACTTGACAGCAAGCTCAGGATACCTACGAAATTTTCTCTGGATACCTATAAGTCTACTCTTCGCCTGTGGGTAGCTATTCGGGAGCTGAACGTCATCAGACCTCCAGAGTAGGCCGGTCTCCCATCGTCCTTGAGGCAAGAGTTTCGTGGTCTGTTCCATAATCTTCAGCGCCAGCTGATCCTCTCGAGAACGAGGAAAGTCACCTGTCTGCTTCACGCCGAAAGACTCTGTGGAAAAAGATCTCTTAACGAGGTCGTGTAATTCGTCACAAGAGCATAGATGTAATATAGTTCTGTCATTCGCTATACTACGAAGTCCTATGTTCCCATGTACAACATAACCCAAGTCCGTCTTAGATATTATAGGTCCGTTCTTATGTCCTTGTATTATTTGTCTAGTAATAATTAACTCAATATTATCTTGTCCAATTAGTAACTCAATCTTTCTAGGTCGTATGTCATAGTCTGTCACATAGTCAGTCACATAAGGAAATTTATTTACAATATTTTTATATGAAATACTATCTAGTACAATATTCAAATTATTTATAGAACGAACACTATTTACACTATACACATTTTTTTCATTCAAACCGCGAATATTAAATGACACTATTTTTGAGTCCGTCTCTGTGGTTGACATTCCGGACACACCACGCATGTGTAGATTTGTCGTCGGACCAGTAATGCCAGCCTTCTCGAGCAGAGTAGCATCAACCAGGCTCACAGATGCGCCTTCATCAAGGAGAGCGAAGGTAGTGACGTCACCTTTTGTACCTGATACAACGACTGGCACGACCTTCAGTAATACACGCGAGCTTCGACTGTCGTTGTTCACTGTCGTTTCGGCATGATTGACGGATATTACTCTATCATCAGTCTCGTCGCGTGGGGCAGCATGAAGCAAGGTGTGATGAGCACGGACACATTCAGGAACAGAGCATTTAATTTTTCTCTTACAGGCTTTTAGTTGGTGTCGTACAGATAGACAAGAGAAACATAACTTTTTGTCAGTTACCAACTTCCAGCGGTCGTCTATCGTCATCCGTTTGAAATCATCACAATCACTTAGTCGATGATTACCGTTGCAGAGCACACATGTAGGTGATGATGATGAAACTGTAGCTATCACCGGTCTCCATGGTCTATGGTCAGGCTTGGTCGGCAGCTTCGCAACAGTATTATTTACAGTCCTTATAGGCAGCGGAGCAATATAAGTGGCGGCGTTAGCTACGGTCATGAGCCACTCAGATACATGACATAAAGATACAATATTTACATTTTTATTCGATATATACATACTCCATTGATATTTCAATAGTGACGGCAGTTTACTTATTATTTCTCGAATTAAAGTGGGATTAGTCAGATGTCCAACCTCTTCTGTCATTTTCATCGTAGCTACAACATTTTGAATTGCAGTCGCATATTCTATTAAATGATTGACGTCGTCATGACGGACTTCACGCATGAGCCTTATTTTATTCAACATGACTTCTATGATTAATTCAGGTCTACCAAATCGTAACTTCAATGTGTCTATTATTAGTTTTAGGTTTGTAGCACTCACCAACAGCGCAGATACAGCGTCACGCGCACGGCCCTTCAGGCAGCGCGCTAGTCGTTCGATGTTTTCATCGTCGCTATAACCACACAGCCGTGTTGTCGATATATACTGCCTATAGAACAACGGCCACTCATCAGGCTCACCGCTATACAAGGGCAGCTCCTTTGCGCTTATTTGCCTGGCTAGGAGTTTAGACATGTTTGTGTTGTCATTCTCTAGTCTGCGTGTAGGAATGTGTGGTGGTACAGGCATCATTTCAGGCTGTGTCTGTGTATCAGTATTGATAGCCGTCGAGATAGCGTGAGGCATACTAATATTATTTTGATACACCATACCTGAGGTTGTAGGCAGACGTAGGGACTCGCGTGACTGTGTCCTATTGAGCATGAGGAGGTTCTCTTCATCTTCAAGTGCTTGTGCTGATAATGCAAGTTTTTCTTCGATGAGTCTGGTTTGTATCAACGCGCGCTCTTCCGCGGCTTGCAATTGTAGTTGTAGGAGTCGTTGTCTTCTTACTACAGTCGATGTGGACGTACTAGAGTGCGAACGGGCGGATGGCGTGGGTAAGGGCTGGCGGCTACCGTGGGCGGACTGTCGGTCGTGTTCACCCTGGTCAGCAGTAGCAAGCAGCGTCGTCGGAATTGTCGTCATCTTCGCTTGTCTTCGTGTCTGCACCATAGGTTGGTTGTAGTTTTTTCGAAGGACCACTTGAAAGGTCGATGGACCGCTTTTTAGGTCAAAGGGTCCGAATTTGTCGTCAAAATGTATTAAAATTAAAAGGCAAATTTGTCATCAAAATTACGTCCGTCTTCTTATCGGTCTTTTGTCTAAGTCCTTTTTGTTTTGTCCCAAGCTGTCAGTTTTAATTGTCGAATGTCTTAGCGGCCAGCGATAAAACCGGTCAAAGAGGCCGCAACACTGTCTACAAAGAGTATATATTCTGTATATATATATATATATATATATATATATATATATATATATATATATATATATATATATATATATATTTTTTTTTTTTTTTTCTTTATTGCACTTGTAAATTACATTGTTAATGCATTTATAATAATAATAATAAATAATAATGGTAATAATTTAAACCGAGAGCGGAGGTACGAAGGAGAATTGGGGTTATTAAGTATGTTATAAAGGAAAGAAAGGATGTGCATATCACGTCGAAGTCGGATAGGAAGCTACTTTAACTGGTTGCGAAAGGCATAAACGTGTATCTATCTATCATAATTTTAGTCAGTAACATAAGATTTTTTTAAATAAAATATCTAGCTAAACCCTCTAGTTTAAAGCAATATTTCATATAATCTTAAGATTTCTTTCTTTACGTTTTAATCTCAACGTTGTGTTTGTTTCAACTTTGCATGAAGTTTCACTTCACTTACCTAGTTTTAATTAATTCCTGATTTAATTCCTACGTGAGCTATTTTCTATGTTAAGGATGTACTTTACTAATATTATAAATGTGAATGAATTTGCAGAAAGGATTTGATTGAAATTTAGAATACAGACGGATTATCATCATCAAATCAGTTTTTAACTTTCCACAGCTGAACATAAGTCTCCCACTTGGGGGGTTTTGCCAATTGTTGCCACGCTTGGTAGGCGAATTGGCAACCGCAGTTAGGCTTTGAAGATGTTTTAAGTGGGACGCTGCTGTTGTTTTTTGACTAAGTAACATAAAAAATATCCTATTAATTTATTTACATACGTGAAGAGATAACTAAATAACTGATATAACACGTTTTTCATTGAAACAAACACGTCAACTCAACCTTGTTGTTAGCAGCACTAACATGTATTGTTCCATTTTCAAATATTAATATTCCATTTTCAAAAGCACTGATTGTATTCGCTTCACATTACCCGTTGTATACTAGTTACTCGCTCAACTTGATACCCGTTGGTGCTCGTTATCGTAGATATGGCGGTTATTCGTAAAATTACTTAACAAGCCAGAAAAAGCTTTTGAATAAACATTTAACACTCGGCCTCGTTTATAGATCTGGGTTCGTTCGGATAAATAGCGGGGATTTTCAATACAAATTGTTGAGGAACGAGCAAGCTGGAACGATTAAAATTAATTATATTTTGATAAACGTAATTAAAATTATTTGCACGTTTATAGCACTTAATTTATAATTAATCAGCCTTCTTCACAAATCATACCTACGCTTCGTCATCATCATCATTTTAGTCATCATCTGTTCACTGCTGAACATAAGCCATAAGTTACGGTCCTGAGCCAATTGCATCTACTGACTTCCTGCAATGTATTCGAGGTCGGCATTTCATGTATTGGGCCCGAGGAGGGGGAAGGGGTTCGTTCTACACTGCGTTTACCTGTGGTGTCGCCACTCAAGAACCTTTTTTATTCATGGGTTGTCACTTCTTCGAGCTATAGACAAGTCCATTGCCACTATAATTTGCTTATCTTTTTTTGCTTTAAATCTTTTGAAATTTTCGTTGCGGATTTTATCACGCAAAGAAAGTTCGAACATAGCCTTTTCCATAGTCCGCTTAGTAATCTGAAGCTTTTACATACAGACGACCATCTAATAACTATACATATCAACGTTTAATTATACTATATGAAAATGTAATGGCAACGCATGGGGGGTATCATGGGCGAAACAGTATACTCTGTTATGTCCATGGCACTGCTCATGTCTATAGGCGACGGTTACCACTTTCCATCAGATGGGCCGTCAGCTTGTTTGCAATTCTAAGTTGTATAAAAAAAATGTATCTTTTATGTATGAAATAATAATAATACGAGAAAGGGCATTGTATTGAGCCATGGTACTTTTGTTTAATTCATATTACTCCAATTACTACCGCTAATATTACTATCATCGTTATTGTAGATGATAAACAGATGAAGTGACGAATTCAAATTTGTTGCAGAAAGCTGATGAATGTCTCAGGACTATACAGAAGAATAACACCTGAGTCCTCACCTCTCATGGCAACGCATAAGGAATATCGTGGGCGAAACAGTATACTCTCTTATCTCTATAGTACTCCTCATGTCTATAGGCGACGGCAAGTAGGCCGTCAGCTTGTTTGCCATTTTAAGTTGCATATAAAAACTGTTCTCAGACCCATGAACTTTATGGGCAAGGATTATCTTCAGCAGTAGACAAAGTAGATGAAAAAATACAAAAAAAAAAAAGAAAAGAAAAGACAGCCTCGTAAATAAAATACAATCGTGACCTATATAGAACTGTAACCATAATTTATCATAGGAGAAAACCGAATTGAAAGAAATTTAGCAATAAAATAGATAACAATAAAATACCGTATCGTAATCTGTGGACAACATATAAGGAATGGGAAGGAAATCACGTAAGCGTTTCGATGCTCATTGCCAATGTCTTTGTTAGTATGAATTACATGGATTTCGCACGGTATGCTGGAAGATATTTATTGCTGTATAAATCATGTACAAGTTGTAATGTATTGCGGCTCTATTCAGACAGTGCACGAGTAAGTCACAGCGACACCGTCCGATACTATTTATGTTACATATTTTTATAAATATTTGCCAGGAAATAGGAAATAAATTACTATGGAGCAATCTATTATTAAAATAATATGGATGTTGAATGAATGAATAAAATTTAAACAATAGAAAAACATTATTTTTTTATTGCCGTTTGTTTCGTATCTTCGGAGGGCATCTCGTGGACCCCTGCCGATTGCAGGAACAACGAATGCCCTTGAAGCCCTTGAGGCAGTCGTTGTTTGGTAAGTTATATCAAGGATCTGCCTAAATAATGATGATTACTTCAACTCTCATCAGATGACGCACTTACACGAGTATTTTGTAGTGAAAGGTCTAAATGAATTTAAATGAAATTTAATACATAGATATGAGATAGATACATATTATATATTATTTTATAATTATTCATACAGGAGTACTCGTAGTTATCTTTTGCCTATAATTTCATATGTGTGGATTTTGGAAGTAGATAATCAGTTGTAGTTGGTGCACCAAGATAAAATATACAGATTTTAAATTATACCTTCAGGTATATAACTGTAAAAACCGCATTCAATTTGGTAGAGTATTTCTTGTGTGATGCAAGAACAAATATACAGAGAGCAAAATTTCTCTAAATTATTGTTTTACCTTCTGTCCCTCTCATTAAAACCCCTCATATGATTTTTCCTTAAATATCCCCTATGGACAGACATCGACTAGTTACTTTTTTATTTATTTGGTGGTAAGATATTAGAGTCAATGAAGACCTAGATTATATAGAACGTCTGTGCTAGTCATACAATAGATATCTTTTGAAGTTTATTTGTTGTTATACAACCAAAACTGAGATTGTTTTGTAACTTATGAGATGTCGTATAAAATGGTACATTTCAAGTTAATTATAAGTAATTGAATTTAAGTTACCTCAGGCGCCGTGTTGGCCCCGAGTGCTCGTTGAAACAGCATACCTGCCTACACACAGAATGTTCCTCAAATTAGATTAGGCAGCTCGAGTGTTCCCGGTTTAATTTCAGCTCGGATTACTCACTAATGAACACCGCAGAAATGCTTTCAGACTCACTTATTTTAATTTTGATATACAACAAAAATGCAACATATAGCCGTGTCCGTGTATTGTTTTGTTTACAGTCTCAGGTGTACATTATTTTATTTGTTTACATCTTTAAACACGTTTTAACATATACGTAAATGCACACATACTCACACGCACACACACACACACACACACACACACACACACACACACACACACACACACACACACACACACACATTCATACATACACATTTATTATTATAATTTTAGTATATGATGGTCCATTAAGCAGTAATTTAGCGAAATTATCAAATTAAAATATTAACCAAATATTTATAGAGATGAGTTTAGAGAAGCGATACCTCATAATTTATAATGATAATTTTAGTCGATTATTATCTACTGCTCAATATAAACTTATCACAGTCCATGTTAATTTTTTCATTTCATTCGATTTAAATGGTTAGTCCATTGCCACATATACCGACCACAATCACAAACTACATTTATAAAAATATTAACGTATAGTTTTGGTTTAGTTATGGTTATGTTATACTGCTATACATTTGCTACTTTCAATTGTTACGCTGAACAGAAAGAAAGTAAAAGACGGTGAATAAGAGTAGGGATATCAATTAAAAGAATGAATGAATGAGAATACTTTATTTGCATTATACAATATAGGAAATAAGCAAGGCAATTTACAAACACAACGATACAATTGTATAAGTACAGTAAGGCGGTCTTATTGCTGAGAGAATTCAAAAAGAATAAAATTAGACAATATGTTTATATCTCATTGCATAACTCGTAGTTTTTTCGGTTCCAGATCGCAACTAGAAATGCTACGGTGTTAGCTGACCGATGTTACCATGTGTGAAAAATTACTTTATACATTTTATGAAGTATTATTTATGTTGCCAACAGATTCAATCTGAATAAATAAATAAATAAAAATTATATTGTAAATATGGAAGAATTTTTGTATTAATTAATTTATTTATTTATTACATGATTATAACATGTTTATACGCAACATAGATACAATATAAACTAATTTAATAAATAAATTGAATTAAACAATGCTTAGTG